GTGGCTTGCGATTCCAAGTTCGAGGCCCAGCATTTCCCAGGCGCGGCCCAAACTGTTGGCCAGGTTTCGAGGGGGCCCCCCTGGACAGCGACCCGGCCTGGTTCGAGGACCCGCAGGGGCTGTTATCCTTTATCTTTTAGAAGCGCGGTGGGACCCAGTGGAACCTTCTCGATGGGCGGCCCCTGTTAACGACGCATGCGGGGATTTAGCCGAGTGGCAATTCCCGCCTGCTGAACTGAAGGGCAATCTTATTGAGGACGACCCCACCCCACTACTGGGCGATTTTGAAGCGACTGTACGTACATTGCAGTGGGGCAGAGCATCGGCTCACTTTTGTGGAGGTGGCGTGGAGCGAGGAGTAGATAATTGTTCGCCGCGTCGACTGTTGCGGCGCATACAGCAAGTTGACAACGGACACCGTCTTTCCGCGATTATTATATCCATTGCTTGTGGAGGGAGGTTCGTGGACGCGAAGCCGAAGGCAGGAGGGGATCAAGGGAGGAGCGGAGGATGTCCTTTGCCCACGTTGCCGCAAGCATCCAGAGACAATGTTTCATCGAGCTTGGAGTTGCGAAGCGAATCAAGGAGCGAAGGCATATCAGGACAGCGAGTACCTGGTCACTGCAGCCTTTTGCACAGTCAGACTCAGAACCGCCTGTGTGGTTGAGAGGTCTCCTTCCGTCGAGTCACACTCAAGTTCCCCCCCCCCCACACCGTCCCAGGAATCTTGGATCATCACTGGAACGAATTCGAAGGATCTGGAAGCGTGCTCAGGATACGGTCATCTCGGGGATCCCCTCATCATCTTCGGAGATGCCAGCGGAAGCGAAATCACTTCAGACCCTCGCTCCACAAGAGTTGGAGTTGCCATTGCGGTGTTGCAGTCATACGAGCCATGCTGTGCACGAGCCTCTATCATCGGCCCGTTGGCTGGAAGCCATCAGACGGTGCCGCGAGGCGAGTTGCGCGGACTGCAGCTCGCCATAGAGGCCACAGCGGGCGCCAGGCGTTACGCCACCGACTGTGATTGTGTTGCTGCTGGATTGTACGACCGCCTGTACGACAGGCCGTCAGGGCCGAATGCTGACTTGCGGCTCGCCATTGGAAAATTGTTGGCCTGCAGACGGGGCCTTGTCTCTGCACTGTTCGTCAACTCTAATGTGGCACCCGAGCAAGTCGTTGCATTGCATGCGCCAACATGGCTGGCAGTTGGGAGCACTGTTGTTGATCACCTTGCCGCCGAGGCGGCGAAGCGCGCCCGTGTGCCCGTCCAGGCACTGCAGCGTGCGTCCCAGGCCGAGAGGTTCATCTACCTGGTGCGGATGCGGCTCCTCAGAGCCACTTCGGACGCGATGGTCGCCGAGGAACAGGGTGGGAGTTGTGCTGCGAGGAGGGTAGGACCTCCTCCCCCTCCTCCTCCTCCTCCTCCTCCTGCGCCTGCTGCCGTCACTTCCTTGCTCTATCAGCACAGGTTGAGCGATGATCGTAGGCAGTGAATTTGTTGTTTCGGGACCACTAACCAGAAAGAGTCATTGACTTTCTGGTCGTATCCGTGTTTCGTCCCTCATCCTATCGATAGTAAGTTTGCCTCTGTACCCTTGGGGGGGCGGCTCCATATCGCTGGGGGGGGGGGCACATAGTACGCATTCGCTCAGACTTGAGCGGTCCCTGGGTGTATGGTTTTGTTCCGCGCGTGGGGGTTATGGAGATCGACAGTTGCGTGGTTTCGGAAGCCCATGCGATTTATATGTGAAGCCCCACCGTCGTGAGTATCTCAACCGTTTGACGGCGGGCCTGTGGTCGAAGCAGCTTAGCAAGGCTGAGCAACGTCACCGCGGTTCCTAATTCTTCGTTCAACGACTACGTCGGACAGCTCGAAGCTCGAAGCTCCTCCTCCTCCTCCTCCTCCTCCTCCTCCTCCTCCTCGTTCTCCTCCTCCTCCTCCTCCTCCTCCTCCTCCTCCTCCTCCTCCTCCTCCTCCTCCTCCTCCTCCTCCTCCTCCTCCTCCTCCCCCTCTCTCCTCCTCCTCCTCCTCCTCCTCCTCCTCCTCCTCCTCCTCCTCCTCCTCCTCCTCCTCCTCCCCCTTCTCCTTCATTACTTAACTATTTCCTCCCTGTCGCACCCCGAGGCCAATCGGGAGGGCGGGCCGGGCGTTTCGCTTGAGATTCCCTCACCATATATTCCTCTTCTTATATTTTTACATGCCCGGGCGGGAGGGAAACACGTCCCCCCCCCAAAAAAAACGGATTCCTGGGATCTGGGGCTTTGGGACCCTCCGGACGGGCCTCGAAGCGGCCACCAGGCCTTGCAGGGCGTTTTGCCAAGCCTTCCCAGCACACCTAGGGCGATCAGGGGGGTCATCGGAGACGTCCCAGAGACCCCCAAGACAGCACAAGAGCGTTCCAAGAGTGACCGACGTGACCTCAAGATGGCCCAGGAGGCCTCCAGGACGGCCCCAAAGAGGCCTCCAAGAGCACTCCCAAGAAGGCCCCCCGAGGCAAAAATCATTGACGTTCTTTGGGTTTTTGGTGAATGTTGGGGTTCTCCTCTTTTCGGCTTCCCGACGCTCCAAGACGGCGGTCTTCTGGGCGTCCGAAGCCGCCTGGGAGGCTCCCAAATCGCCCCAGAACCATCCGAAAGGGGCTTCCAGGCAGTCCAAGAGAGCCCCAAAACGGCACAACACGGGTCCAAGATGGCCCTCAGAGAGCCCCATGGCGGCCCAAGATGACCCAAAGACACCCTTCGAATAATTCCAAATCGCGATTCGGCCGTTCAGGGAGACCGCGGTTGGAGGCAGGGTGGCCCGAGGAAGCCCCCGGAGGCCCCCAGAATACGCCCAGGAGGTTTCCAGAAGGCTTTAAAGCCTGAGACAACTTTTGTGAGGCGCTCCAAGGAGGAGCCTCCGCAAAAAAGAGCTGAGGAGGATAGGGAGAATGCGCAGGGCATTGGAGAAGGCGCAGGGCATGCGCAGGGCCGCCTGCATACCAAACTTCAAGGACCAAGGTGCATGGCGCGAAGCGCCACTGCAGTCTTGTATATATATATATATACAAGACTGCAGTGGCGCTTCGCGCCATGCACCTTGGTCCTTGAAGTTTGGTATGCAGGCGGAATAGCAGGAAGGTCAAGCCGACAATTTAGCGATCACTCCTGGTTGCCTTTTCTGGCATCGCCGCTATAATAATGCAATTCGTTATCCTTCCTCCATGCTTCTTTCCCATTATTTTCGCCATGCCCTGCGCATTCTCCGCATCCTCCTCAGCTCTTTTTTGCGGAGGCTCATCCTTGGAGCGCCTCTGGGGGCCTCACAAAAGTTGTCTCAGGCTTTCTTAAGGCCTTCTGGAGACCTCCTGGGCGTATTCTGGGGGCCTCCAGGGGCTTCCTCGGGCCACCCTGCCTCCAACCGCGGTCTCCCTGAACGACCGAATCACGATTTGGAATTATTCGAAGGGTGTCTTTGGGCCATCTTGGGCCGCCATGGGGCTCTCTGAGGGCCATCTTGGACCCGTGTTGTGCCGTTTTGGGGCTCTCTTGGACTGCCTGGAAGCCCACTTCGGATGGTTCTGGGGCGATTTGGGAGCCTCCCAGGCGGCTTCGGACGCCCAGAAGACCGCCGTCTTGGAGCGTCGGGAAGCCGAAAAGAGGAGAACCCTAAAATTCAAAAAACAAAAAAAAAACAAAAAAAAACAAAAAAAAAAAAAAAAAAAAAAAAAAATGATTTGTGCCTCGGGGGGCCTTCTTGGGAGTTCTCTTGGAGGCCTCTTTGGGGCCGTCCTGGAGGCCTCTTGGGCCATCTTGAGGTCCCGTCGGTCACTCTTGGAGCGCTCTTGTGCTGTCTTGGGGGTCTCTGGGACGTCTCCGATGACCCCCCTGATCGCCCTAGGTGTGCTGGGAAGGCTTGGCAAAACGCCATGTGAGGCCCGGTGTCCGCTTCGAGGCCCGTCTGGAGGGTCCCAAAACCCCAGATCACGGGAGTCCGGTTTTGGGGGGGGGGACGGGTTTTCCCCCCGCCCGGGCTTATAAGAATATAGGAAGAGGAATGTGTGTGTGTGCTCGTGAAGCTTAAAGAGTGGCAAGATCTTAAAAAATGGAGGGCTGGCGGTTTTCGGAATGTTGTTCTTGGTTTAGCGCCGCGCACATTATATGTAAAAAAACGCAGGAGCTTCACGGATTGAGGGTGAGTAGCTTTCAAAATGTGGTTTTCGCTTCAGTGCCGGTCACATTCGCTTTAAAAGTACATGTGACTGACTGAGGGCGGACAGTTTTCGAAATGCTTTTTTTTGCTTGAGCTCCGCGCACACTCGCCTCAACCATTTGCACGAGCTTCACGGATTGAGAGCGGCCCATGTTAAAAATGTGGTTTTCGCTTGAGCCCCTCGCACATCCGTCTTACACAGGTGCAGTGGCTCCACGGGTGCCGGTGGTCGACGTACCTGAAATATATGTTTGGGAACGGTTCAGGATTGCCAGGGCGCAAAAGTTAAATTGATTCGCGGCGTTGAAGTCCCAGGCAGGGTGTTTTGGCACGGTTTGGGATCGTCAAGGCGCAACATGAGGTTGATTCGTGGCGTTGAGTCTCGTGAATGGTCTTTTGGCGTGCTTCAGGATCTTCAAACAGTTGTCTCCCAAACTGGGCATTTTCTTCCGTGGAAGTGAATATTTGCTGGTGCCCATGAAGAGGGAGCTTGGAGGGAGGGTGTATTCCAACATCGTTGGTGGATCTTGGGTTTACTCTGGTCCTCCTCCTCCGCCTCCTCCTCCCTCCCTCCCTCCCTCCTTTCTTCCCCTCCCCTTCCTTCCTTCCCTCCAAGAGGACGAAGAAGAGAACAAGGACGAGGACGTCGACGGCGAGGACGAGAACGCGAAGCGAGGATGCCGACGACAGCAAAGGGGGCTGCGGAGGACCAGAATGGCAAGGGCGTGGGGTCGACGCCGCTGCGCCGTCGTCGTTGGCGTCGGCGTCGTCGCGCCCTGGGACCCCAATCCCCCACCCCCCTGGG